CACCTTTCCTTCTTGAGCTGCCTCCCAGGACCCCTGTCCAAGGGCAGGTCAGGGTGTATATCAGGGCCTGGCCAAATGTTCCAATTCTGTCATTTATTTACCACGTTCAAGGGATCTTCAGCAAATTCAGAAACTACGTGTGGATTTCAAATTTGGTTTTTGCTCTAAAATAAATTTGTACTTTGATTCTGTCTTTCCGTGAACTTTTTGTAGTCCCCACATATTCGCTGAGAGTCAGGTACCCTGGTAGGTGTTAGGATGGAAAGATGAATGTGCCAGACGCTGCCCCTGCCCTCATAGAGCTTCTAGGCCAGCCGCGGAAACAAATTGCAATCTCTTCGGCGTTCCCTTCTAGTGGTAAAATCCCTTTTGCTTTATATTTTCATTTTTCTAGATTCAGAGTTTCTTATAGTTATGTTTGTTTAATGTGGTGGTGTTTTTTTTTTATGTTCAAAACTATTTTTTAGTTGCCAGGGGTTGTGTACACTCACTGGAGAGAGACAGAGACAGAGAGGAAAAGTGAGAAAGCATGGTCATACTGCAGTCTTTCCTTTTATGTCTCTCCTTTTGGCGTTTGGAGCATGCATGCAAATGCACCGGATGTGTTTTCTAAGCCACAGGTCTGGGACTTGAACTGTGTAGTTGGCCTTGTGGGGTCCAGTTGCCTTAACCCCCAGGACACTAACTCGCTGTATCTTCAGTTTTCTTTGAAGTCTGTGTCTTTATGAGTTAGGGTAACAGAGAGAGACAGAGATACAGCACTCCCACAAAGATCTTTATGCCATGATCTGCCCCCGGATCCAACTAGCTCTGGGTCACGTGCACAGGAATGTTCTGTGAGCTCAGGGAGGTCTCCAGCCACGCACCAGGAACCTTCCATGTGCGTCTGTCTCATAGAATGCTGTGTATTACCACCGTCTGGCCTCTTTTCTGTTCAGTTTGGAACTGCATTTATAATCCACGGTGCCTCTGAATCAAGAAAATAGTGGTTCATCAATTGCAGGAAGGAAAAATATAGGGTGGGATGAACCCTATTTAACAAGTATTCATTTTAGCCTTAAACTCTAGACAGCTCATGGCGAAATGGCATTGTACATCAGAATCGCACATGGTGAACACTGGGGGGGAGGGGGGCAGGCGTTTTCATCAGTTCAGCAACCTTCCAGCCAGTTCTGACTAGGTAGTCAGAGAAACTGCTACAGACGATCAAACGGGGGCTTTGCAACCTGGCTGCATGTTCCATTCACCAGGATCCTTTAAAACAGTGAACGCTTCAGCTGAGCCCCAGACGATGAAAGTGGAACCCCTGGAGGTCAGAACCAGGCAGGGATAGTTTTGAAAATTCCCAGGAGGTGCCCAAGCACATTCGGATTTGAGAACCAGGGCTGTGGAGGGTTGAGAAACTGAGCAGCGCTTCAGAAACTCCGATGGGCCTGTGGGTCACCTAGGTTCTAGGGAGGGGGCCCTGAGATTGTGTGTTTCTGACTGGTCCTGGGGGTGCTTCTGCCGCTGGGCCATGGACCACATGTTCAGGAGCTGGGAAGACAAGGAGACAACCCAAGAATATTCAAGGCAGTGAAAAATAGCCCCAGAGGAGATTTTTCCTTCTGTCTGCAAGAGCACTCTCTCTCGGTTCCCAAATTCAAGTCCGTGTTCTGAGCCAGCTGTGTCAGAATTACTCAGGAACTTCACACAGATCCAGATCCAGCCATAGACCCAGCTGGGCTCCCCAAAGGAGACTGAGTCAGCCACAGCGATATGGGTGGCACTGTGCATAGGCTGGGCTTTTTATGTGCAGCACCATCTCATTTAACCCTCACAGTCTGTGCAGCAGCTACTGTTATCTTCCCCATGATTCGGGTTTAAAAACAAACACACACTGAGACCTGGAGAGGTTGAATGCTCTGCCCCTGGCCACTCATTTAGTAAAGAAGCTGTAGCAGAGTGGTCTTGCTAAGCTCTGTTTTAAAACATTTCCTATAAGAGCCAGCAGGTGGCGTAGTGGTTACGGCACTGGACTCCCATGTGGCTGACTGCGGTTTGAGTCCCATACCTGGCGGCTTAAAATTCATGCTACCATGCACATGTGTGCATGCCCAAAATCCTGAGCAGAGAGAGAAGGAGAAGGGATTGCTGGGTGGCCATCCCACTTGGGGGGTGATTTCTTGCTTTCTCTCTCTCTCTCTGTCCCTGTGTCTCCAGCGAGCATGTGTACCCTATAACAAAAATCTCTCAAAAGAAAAAAAAAAATCCAATGGGCTGCCCATGTTTTATCTCCCTGTGGAAAAGAAAATCTTAAAGCAGGGTATTTCCTGAAAGGGTGACTAGGTATGAACCTGTTTGTATGAGATTAAATACGAATCTCTCTGTTTGCATTTCAGACATGAAACTGCATCTCGACAGAAAAGGTTTCAGTTCAATTTAAAGAATATCCTTGAGCTAATGTAATCATCATCCGATAAGACAATAGTACAATTCATTTTCCGAGATTTATTGAGCCCAGTTGAAGACCACTTAATTGTCCTTCAGCAGAAAATAGAAGAAAAGCTTTTTGTACATCAAATTTTGTACAGCGGTACAATGGAATGCCATTCAGCCATTGCTAACAATGGTTTAGAACAACATTTACTGGCATGAAAGAGCATTTGCAACATTATAAGTTCACAAACAGTATTCATAGAATGATCCCAGTTTTTTGTTTGCTTGTTTGTTTTTGCTATACGGCATGTGCGCTCGCCAGAAAGACAGAGACAGAGACACAGAAAGCAAGAAATCACCCCCCCAGGGGAGATGGCCATGCCACAATCCTTTCTCCTCCATTCTCCTCTCAGGATCTTGGGCACACACGCACACGCGCCTGGCGTGAGTTTAAGCCACCGGGTCCGGGACTTGAATCACACTTGACTACATGGGAGTCCAGTGACATAGCCATGACGCCAACTGCTGGTCCTCCATTTTTGTTTTGAAGTTGTAGTAATAAAAATATATTTAGGCCAAGGACAGAGCTATGTGTGGTTATACACCACGATGTTAATAGTGGTTCTCCCCGGATGGATACTCCTTTTTTTTTCCTCATCTGAATATTTGTTCAGCTCCTGCTCTGTGACTGACGCTGTATCTCGAATGCTGGGAAGTAAATGAAAGTGGTTGGGCTGATTTAACCTTTTCAGAACTAACTGGATCTAGATGAAACAAAAATAGATGTCAACCATGTTTTTATTTTAGCCCAGGCTATTTTTCTAAGGGAAATGAGTGAGTTAGTTATGGTTTTCTGGGAGCCAGCAGGTGGTATGGTGGTTAAGGTGCTGGACTTCCATATGGCTGACAGCGGTTTGAATCCCGGACCTGGTGGCTTGCTTTCTCATTTTCTCTCTTTCTCGGTCTCTCTCTGGTGAGTGCATATGCCCTGTATCAAGTTAAAAAAAATAATAATTACAAGCATAAATGAAATTAAATAATAATTTTTTAAAATGTGTTTTTCTGCCAGCTATCTTCCTTCCTTTCTTCTTTTTGCCAACTCATCCATCCATCCATCTTTTCATCATTCAACAAGCATTTCCCAAGTATCGGGCATGTGCCTACGAGCTGCTCATGGGGAAATGACAAACGTACTTTCTGCTCTCTAGACACTCCTCATCTTCCTTTTTAAAAACAATACACTTTTGGGGGCCCGTGGGTGGTGTGGTAGTTAAAGCACTGGACACTCCCTCATGGCTGACCATGGTTCAAGTCCTGGACCTGGTGGCTTGATTTCTCACTTTCTCTCTATGGTCAAATTAAAATAATAAATAAATAAGTAAATACAGTTAAATAAAAAATAACTCTTAAGAAAAAGAAATCGGTGAAAAAGAGAAACCTTCGTCTTCATTTTCTTATTTATTCCATTATTGAGTTATGTCACTGTGGACTCACCATACCCTTTTTGTATTTTGGGTTATAATCTAGCCCTATCGTATTTATTATGTTTTAGGTTATAACATAGCACTATCGTATTTATTGTATTTGGGGTTATAATCTAGCCCTATCTTTTTGCTGGTCAGGTTGTTCCAGCCTCGGGCACTGAGAGCTCTTTTTTTATTTAATTTTTTTTAGAGGGAGAGTTTTACGTGTGTGTTCTCTAGAGAGACAGAAAGTGAGAAATCTTCCCCCGGGGGAGGGGGGATGGCCACGCCGCAATCCCTTCTCCTCCGTTCTCCTGTCAGGATCTTGGACATGCACGCACAGGGCCCAGCATGAATTTTAAGCCACCAGATCTAAGACTTGAACCACAGTCGACTACGTCGGAACCCAGCAATGTAATCACTATGTCATCTGTTGGTCCCTCATTGTCGTTTAAGAGGAGACTGTGAAAAATGTTCTACATAATGTACCAAGAGCTATGGCAGCGGAGACAACAGGGTGACTACTTCTACCAAGGGAAGTCTTCGCTGAGGAATCGGTATTTGAAATTGAGGAGAGTTTTCCGGATGGAGATCAAGACTAGGGAGCATGAGGGGAAAGGAGTGCGAGGGAAGCAGATGTCAGCATCGGGGACACCTGGCTCTTTCATTCGATCTGACTAGATTTACAGTGGCCCTCCTTCGATCTCCTTTCGTCAGTGTAGCCATTTTTACAGTGTTGTGAAGGGAGACTTCGCTAGGTAAGCCCTGACAGCTCACGGCCCTCCCTCCCGCCCTGTCTATCTTCCCTCCGGGCTTTCTTCTTTCCCATCTTTCTTCCTTCTAAGTGCATCTAGTTCCCAACCTGCAGGATCGTTCCCTCACCCACCGCAGGCACGGAGGTGTGGAGAAGACTTCGGCAGCCCCTGCCACTAAGAATTTTATATTCTGTCTCGAGCGAGATCTTCGCTTTCTTCTTTTCCTTTTAGCCCCTCTCCAAGTGTGTGATTTTTAATGCGTAATAGAAAAGTCGAACAAACAGAAAAGCCCAAGAGGAGCTCTTAGCCATCTGTGAACCTGGCATGACACCTGACTCACTCAGAAAATCTTTTCCGTCCACAGGTAACGATTGGTGTGTATGATCCCTGTAACTTAGCCCAGTACCCTGGATGGCCCCTGAGGAATTTTTTGGTCCTAGCAGCCCACAGATGGTATTTACAAGAGTCTGTCTGTCTGTCTGTCTTTGTTGTCTGTTTTTGATGCTGCCTCTGCTCATGTCTGCATCTTTGTTCTTCACACGCATTTCTTCATTTCTGGCTTGGCAACCAGATGAGAAATCAGTAAGTCAGTGAGACCTTATTTCCGCCATTAGCAAGCCCTTCTGCAAGTCCGTTAGGGGGCTGCTCACCCCACCCAGAGCGTACTAAGGATACCTCGGGCTCTGGTAGGGTAGGGAGCCAGAGGGCCCGACGCTGAATTCTGTAGCTCTTCCTTCCCGGAGCCGTCTTGGTTGCTTTCATATAAGACATTTCCTGGTGCTACTCTTCCTTCCTTTTTCCTAACCCTAAAATAATATTAGATCATTAGGAAAGTCATGACATATTTTTTTTCTATGCAAAACTGCATCATGACTTTTCTGACCACCCAATAAAACAGAGGTTAGGTAAAAGACCAAGACACGTTTGAAAAGATGCTCAACATCATCCGTCTTCAAGGAAACAGAATTAAACCATAACGAGCTAGTTCTCCGTATCTACCAAAATGCCACACCACGTGTGGCTGGAGACGTGCAGCAGTGGGAAAATACCAGGAGGCTTGCAGGTTTCTACCGAAGCTGAGAATCTCGGTGGTTGAGCAGTTTCCTTCTCAGGTGCATTATGCTCGGAGCTTCATGCATAGATGGAAGCAAGACACATTTATAGGAACATAGCAGCGTTATTCTTGTTTTTGTTTTTTTGAAAGGTTTTTGCTATAGGGCGCGTGCACTCACCCAAAAGACAGAGACAGAGAGACAGAAAGCGAGAAATCATCCCCCAGCAGGGATGGCCACACCACAATCCCTTCTCCTCCATTCTCCTCTTGGGATATTGGGTATGCATGCCCACGCGCCTGGTGTGAGTTTAAGCCACCTGGTCCGGGACTCGAACCGCGGTCGACTGCATGGGAGTCCAGCAACATAGCCATCACGCCAACTGCTGGTCCCGCATTATTCTTTTTTAAAAAAACTATTTATTTAATTCTATTTATCATCATTATTATTATTCTCAGTTTGACCAGAGTAAGTCTGAGAGAGAAAGTAAGAAACCAGCCACCAGATCTGGGACTTGAACCACCGTCAGCCACCTGGGAGTCCAGCACCTTTAACCACCGTGCCACCTTGTAGCAGCATTATTCTCAAGGCCCAAAAGCTGGGACTAACACACATGTCCTTCCACAGTGAGATGGGTCATAAATGGTAGGATGTGCGGTGTAAGGGAGCTCTGTGTGGCAGGGGCTCTGGATGAACTGCTGGCGCGTGTAAGCATAGATGGATTCAAAGAGCATCATGTTGGATGAAGTAAGCTGGATCTAGAAGAAGCCATATTCGGAGCCAGCAAGTGGCGAGGTGGTTAAAGTACTAGACTCACACATGGCTGACTGTAGTTCAGGTCCCAGACCTGGTAGTTTGCTTTCTCACTCTCTCCCTCTCTTTCTTTCTGTCTCTCTTTGGTCAAATTGAAGTATAGTAATAATCATAAATAAAGTAAATAATTTTAAAAAATTTTTAAAGAATTAAAATAAAAAAGAATATATAGTCTCTGATTTCCCCTTGTGTAGCATTCAAAATGGTCAAACCAAGGTATGGCTTTAGAAGTCATGGGGACACTTAAGTATCCTATCATCAGAGCCATATAATTGAAATAAGAACATGGAAATCATTAATAATTATATTTTCCTATGCACTTTTTAATGAACCTAATTTTTAATTGTAAAAAAGAGGAAACTGTTTAAAATATATATATTCTATTGTCTCAGGATTTTGTGAGTGTTTAAAGCATCCAAGTTCTTCTTTGTATTCATATACATGATTTTAATTTTATGTCTCAAGCATCTGCTTTTGTGAGTGTTTAAAGCATCCAAGTTCTTCATTGTATTCATATACATAATTTTAATTTTATGTCTCAAGCATCTAAAATAAAAACTGATGTCATTTTAAAAAATAACTTAGAGTAGTCTTTACTTTTAAAGGGGGCGATTAATGACTAAGAGAAGACACAAGACAAGCTCCTATATTTTATTTACTCTTTTTTTTTTGGCTAGAGGGTGTGTGCACTCTCCAGAAAGAGACAGAGAGAGTCAATGAGAGGGAAAGTGAGAAATCATCCCCTGGGGAGGATGGCCACTCCTCAATTGCTTCTCTTCCTGGGATATGGGCATGGATGCACATGCACCTGATAGGAGTTTCAGGCCACCAGGTCCGGGACTCAAACTGCAGTCAGCTCCATGGGAGTCCAGAGCTTTAACCACTACCACAACACCTGCAGGCCCCGCAAGACAAGCTCCCTCACACTTAGGATTCCTGTGCTTTCTTCTCTGCCTGCCCTGCTTACATAACCATGTTTGTTTACACATATAAAAATAGATGATATAAATTAGAATTGTCCCCAGAGGGAGACTAGTGATCCATCACTTATTTGGGTGGTAAGTCTCGTCTCAAACGGGCCTCCTAATTACCGACCGAGGTGCCGTGTTGTGATAACGGAAGTTCAGGTGGGAAGAAGGTAGACCAGAAGGACCCTCTACTCGCAGGTTCTTTTTCAAAGTCTCGGGAGCATCTCTTCTTTGTGTTGAAAAGATTCATTGGTCTGAATTATTTATGTGCAGTGTGATTGTTATATAAAATTCACCTTAGAGAGTTATCATAGGCAATTCATCTCCTAAATGCGTAGACAAAGGAAGCCTATGTGAATATGTTCAGAATTTCTCAAAGGTTAAGACCATCCCCTGAGGGTGTCAGGGAGGCATAATTACAATGAACTGAATTCTCTGCAGCTGGTTTGCTGAAGGTCTTACGGGAGCTCTTTTTTTTTTTTTTTTTTTTTTTCTTCCTTAAAAAAAAAATGAAATGAAACTGCGGGGTCTGACAACAGGAGTAGCAGTTTCCAGTCTGTTGAAGTCCTTTGCTTCCGTGACCGCACCATGCAGGGGGCAAGAGAAGTTGCCCACAGCATCATCTTCGAAGTGAAGCTTCCAGAAATGGCATTTAGCCCAGGTAATTGGCTGCTCTTTGAGAATGCATATAATTATCATTTATCAGAAACGGGATCGGGTTTACTTTCTTTTCATCTCTTCACCATGGCAGCCGAAGGGAGAGGAAAGTACCAGTCCTACCGCTTTGTCAACGCCAACACCTACCTCGAGCAGAGGGCACGTTCTGCTTTTCAGACGGGAACAAAGGCAGAGATTGTTGCCAGGAAATTTTCTCCAGGCACTTCAGTCTTGAGAATTTTTTTTTTTTTTTAAGAGAGATTTTTTTGCTATAGGGCAGGTGCACTTGTTGGAAAGACAGAGAGAGACAGAAAGTGAGAGATCACCCCCTGGGTGGGTTGGCCACACTACAATGCCTTCTCCATTCTCCTCTCAGGATTTTGGGCATGCATGCACACATGTCCGGGGTGATTTTCAAGCCACTGGGTCCGGGACTCAAACTGTGGTTGGCCATGTGGCAGTCCAGTGACATAATCATTATGCCATCTTTTGGTCCCCAAGTCTTGAGGATATTTTTCCTCTAGTTTTCATTATTTATTTATTTATTTAGGAGAGGTTTTTGCTATAGGGTGCGCGCGCTCACCAGAAAGACAGAGACAGAGAGACAGAAAGCGAGAAATCACCCCCCGGGGGGGATGGTCACGCCGCAATCCCTTCTCCT